CAAATGGTACAAACTGTTTTCTTCTGTTGACACCAAGTATCTTGTTTCAGGCGTTTGAGTCCTAGATCTTAAATAGAAAAAAGTGGCCCCACCCACAAGCAAGAAGGAAGCATCAGTAAGGCCAGGGGATCTCCACTATTTGCAAAAGTACAATAATGATTGAGACCATGATCAACATGGCAACAGAAAGCCTGAAGAGTGAAATGCTGAAGCAACTCATTGAAAACTGAGCGTGTTCTGTGGCATGGAATGCTGGCTCAGGAGAGGAGGAAAGCAACATGGAACGCAAGGGAAGGGAATGATTGCCAGAAACATTAAATACTGTAGGGACAGTCTATACTGAAACATATTACTGCAAGTTTCAGTTCTCTCCCTCTTGCACAATTTAATTGCTATTTTTTCCCCCATTACGGTATATCCAACCAGATATAATGGAATTAAATCTATCCTTATCCAAACTGATAAAAATTACTGTGATGAGGCATATGTTCAACACAGGTAAGATGCCTGCAACAGGACTATGAATTTTGTGTTGTGATCCTGGTTGAAGGAACGACTGTCTATAAGACTAATAATTGCCCACTGTGCAGAAGCACAGGAGGGGTGAGGAAACCGCCTACCTAAATTGCTTGCTTAACCTGCTACTGTCGTTGTTCATTAAGAGCACATGGATCTAGAAACATTACCAGATAATCAAGTTCTGTAGAATAAATTTCTCGCAGAAGTTTGGACAGCCTCTAATAACTTGGCTTTCTGGAAGTTTTAAAACCCTGGTTCTTCCCTCAGGCTTTAGGGTCAGGATGTTAATGGAGCCCCAATTGTGTTTTGGTTTTAGTTGTTTGTTGAGATATTTTATTCAGCATCCTTTATTGTTTTATTTTCCCTGTGTTTTTATATCTATGTTCTTGTTTTTATGCTTGTTAACTGCCTAGGGTTAATTGATTCAGATGGGTATCCATATACATTTACATAATGAATGAATAAACAAACAACTAAATAAATATAACTTTCTTTTTTAAAAAATATCGCATACACTACACCTAATAAAGAAACGGAAAAATATTTGGCAGTTTTTGTCCGACCAGTTAGCAGTTTCGATTGGTTTCCAAAGCTGTTTTCTCTCAGTTGGACACATTGCATGAGCACAGCCACTTCTGCAAATTTCCATATTTTCACAAGCCATTCCTTTCCTGAAGGATGTATTACACACGCTGATCCCAGGTTCGGCTTATGGTCACTCACTCACACGCTCACAGCCTGTTGAGGCATGCGGATCTTGTCAGCCCCCCTGGCTTTCTACCCGGGTTTTCCAGATAGGGGTGGCTGGGGCAGACAGACACAAAGCCCT